CAGTCACTGGGCTCTCCCTCCCCCAAGTACATAGACCCTCTGCACTTCATGGCCACTGCCAAGGAATAGGGGAAAGATGGCACTGGTGATTCAAGACTGTCTCCAACCCTCCTTGATGCCATCTTCATTAACTTCTATGAAGATAAAATGAGGTACTATGATTGCTCATCTAATTTTTGTTTTTTCTAAACAGCACTTTTCTGTATAGAGGTAGTTGTTAAAATTTGGTCTTTCTGCAAGGGGTACAAATGGTGTAGGCTTCTATTCTGCCATCCTGCTCTGCCCTCATAATTTTTAACTACAGTCTCAAAGTACTTTCAAGTATTATTTACACAGATATTAAAATTTCCCTGAGAGTTACCATGTGTTTATTCTTCAGCCAAACAGGCAGTCTAATAAAGATAATTGAGAGAGTGAACATTGAAATGAGAGGGAGGTAGTCAGAATCAGATCATGTAGTTTTTCACTAATATTTGTTGAGTACTTGCTGTTAGAAAGACACTGAGCATATTGCAGTGGATAAAATGGAGCCTAAATGTGATGAGGTTTATTGTTTAATGAAAAAGAAAGATATTATATAAATATCTTTTCTATATAAAATATACATGCTTACAAACTGTGTACTACGTAAAACCAAGGAAAGCTACTAAGAGAAGTCTTAATATCAACTTCATTTAAAGGGACTTGTCAGCAAAGTCTTCTCTGAAGATGTGACAGAATAAATTACTTTCAAATTTATCCAGGTGAAGATTTGGAGTAGAAACATTTCAGGCTAAGAAACTATATATAGGAAGATGCTGAGGTAGAAGAGTGCTTGGTGAGTTTCAAGGAAAGGTTCACATGACTAAAATTCAGTGAAGGATGGAGAGTGGTGCAAGTTGAGGCTAGATAGCAAAGCAAGGATCATACACAGTGCTTGTGATCATGCTAAGAGTTCTGTAATTTAAGTGCAAAGGGAAATCAGGAGAGGATTTTGAGTAGGCAGTCACATAATCATATTTATATCTTTTAAATATTAGCTTGCAAGGAATGGATTAGAAGGAAGCAAGAGAGAAAATGGGATTCTATGCCACAAGGCAATGGGATAAGATGGTGGATTCGACTAGAGTGATGATAATGATAGAACTAAAGAAAAGTAGCTAAACTTAAGATGTATACCAGAGATAGTATGGATAGGACATAACCATGGACTAGATTTAGGAAAGAAGAAACAGGAGGTGTCAAAACTCTATCTTTCAACACAACAACTTGTTTGTTGATGGTCGATGATGTCATTTAATAATATGGAGACACCCTGGAGAAAGAGAGTGTCTGGTAGGGCTGAGATGTGGAGATCATTAATTCAACTATTAAGATTATTAATTCCACTTGTGTTCCAAGTATTTAATTATATAGTTACCTAGCCATATTCCTCAGTGTTTTTGACCCATATCCTCTACTAGAAAAATCTTGACATATAGTTCCTGGATCTAAGATGCTACTTTCAATCAAGGATTAATGAAAAGAATAATTAGAATTAACTTTTAAGGTAGACTTTTTGCTGCAGTTTATAAAATAATATTTGCTTAATCTCAAATTGAACAATACAGAGGAAGTAATCAGCCAAAATATTAGCATGATGGCTAAACCTTTTAAAACATGATAGCCTGCCTTCCAGATCACACCACCTGCAATCTTATCCCAAACTTTTCTATACGGTAACTTTTCAGGTATTCTCTCTGGTGATGAATGCAAATTTGGAAGCAAATTTATGTTTCTTTTTTCTAAAATGAATTTAAAAGTGGCCTCCTACTAACTGAATGACTCACAAGCTGGAACCACACGGCAGTGGGCTGAGCATATTTGGAGGAATCAGAAGGGAAGCAGGCTTAGGAAGGAGTATTGGGATAGTAGTCAGAGTTCACCACAGAAGCCTCATGAAAGAGAAAGAGAATCCCAAAATCTACAGAGAAAGTAGAAAAGACAGTCTGTCTCTTTTGTTGGAAAAAAAAGTGGCCCAGTTGTTTCATAATTTCCACATTATAGTTGAGAGGTAGAATCGTAGCATACAAAAATAATAGAAGCAGGGTAGTAATGACAACAATAATTTTTAAAATTCATTAAATGTGTGTCATGTTTCCAGAACTATACTAACTGCCTTTCAAAACTACCTCTGAACCCCTTTGAGTTAATGCCCTTATTATTAGCATTTTCGAAAACAGGAAACAAGGCTTAGAGCTCATAGGTTGTTTGCCAAAGGCCATGCAGTTGATAAATGAGAGCTTGAACACACAGATATGTCTGATTCCAGAAGCGATGTTTTCTGCTACTATGCCACACTGCACCAGCACACAAATAAAAGATGAAACTAAAAACCGCCTTTATCGGGTGTGCTGGTGTGCACTTGTAGTCCTAACTACTATGGAAGGATTGCTTGCGCCCAGGAGGAAAAGGCTGCAGTAAGCTATATTCACCACCACTGTACTCCAGCCTGGACAACAGAGTGAGATCCAGTCTCAATAAATAAATTAATTAATTAAAAATCACAGTAGATCTTTAGTGTTAAATCTAGGGAGAAAAAAAGTAAAAATGTATAGGCATTGGTTGCCAAATATTTTTAAATTCAAAATAAGGGAAATGTCTCTGCTGTGCTGGGCCATCGTTTTGTGCTATGTGGGTCCCAAAGGCACAGCTGACTACATGCAAGTATTTAAATTTACCTTGAGCTTTTGAACAGCATAATTTCTTACAAATGTGCAGATACCTGAATTTTATAACATAACTCCTGTCATTGTGAATTTCTTCCTTGCTTCTTCCCATACTCTTCAAAAAGCTGTTAAACCTCCTCAGCACCACACAGCATTTCCATGTAACAAGCCTGCACATGCACTCCTGAATCTAAAAGTTGAAATTCAAAATAAAAGAATACTATTTCACAAACACTATAGAAATAATAAAGTTGGCCGGGCGCGGTGGCTCACGCCTGTAATCCCAGCACTTTGGGAGGCCGAAGTGGGTGGATCACAAGGTCAAGAGATCGAGACCATCCTGGTCAATATGGTGAAACCCCGTCTCTACTAAAAATACAAAAAATTAGCTGGGCGTGGTGGCACACGCCTATAATCCCAGCTACTTGGGAGACTGAGGCAGGAGAATTGCCTGAACCCAGGAGGTGGAGGTTGCGGTGAGCCGAGGTCGCACCATTGCACTCCAGCCTGGGTAACAAGAGTGAAAACTCTCTCAAAAAAAAAAAAAAAATAATAATAATAATAATAAAGTTACTACATCATATTTTTTTAAAGTTGTTAATCTATAATTATTCATTTTTTAGTGTTTGTGATTGAAATTCATTTTTCTTCAACTGGTCTTTATCACCATTTCCCTAACCTTCAACCACTTTAGATGAACACAAAGAATGTGTTGATAAGTGATGTTTAGTGGGAGAGAAATTACTTTAGTTTGAGTTTTTAAAACAGTAAGAAAAAAAATGGAATATTTCAATTCAACTTTTAGTAGAGTTCTGAATATGATGGTTATGCGGTTGTGGCAATGTCTACAAAGGATTCAAATAAAATGAAGAATTTAAAACTTCCCTCTTACCCTTCAGAAACACAGGAATGGTCCACTTCACCTCCAATACCACCCGTTCTCTTTCTCACAGCAGTAATGTAGTGGCTCCCATTTTTGGCATCCTCAACTACAGCCGACTGAACTGAGTTTTGAGCAACAAACAGTTTACAAGATAAGAAAAGGGCATTCCAATTGAGGAGGACAGTGTGTACAGTATACAGCAATGACATGAAGGAAATCAGAAATTGGGGGGAATGAGTGCTGATAGGAGATGAGGCCATCTAAGTAGGTTGGGACCAAATTTTGAGGGTCTTTTATGCCATACGAAGGAATGTGAACAGTATTTAGGTAATGGAAGCCATTGGCAAGCTGGTTTCCTTCTACATTCAGGCACTTCATATACTTGCTTCCCCTCCTGTTATTATTTAGATTTAAAAACAAAGCTAACCATATCTCTAATTTTTCCATACCAACTGGCTGCATATTTCTGCAATTTAATTTATTCAGCAGCCTGATACTATGATTCTGTGCATGTGAAATTGTTATTTGGCATAAAGACAGTTATTAATTTTAAAAACCTATTTTAGTGGAATATTCAAAGACTTTTTTCAAGCAATTGAAAAATATAATCAGAAAAATAAAAAATAATTTTGGAGAAAAAAATACATGTCACCTACTGAAGCCATGGGTGGTCTGTTTCTAAAGGACATATTTCATTTTGTGTTCCTGTGTAATATTCCTCTATCCTTTTTTTTTTTTAACTGGAGTCATTTTAATGTACAGGAGCTTGACTTCAAATCAACTAAGTTTCCAGAATATTTGGCTGTGTCAGTACTTTCAACTTTCACTATAGGGGCTTTTACTTCAAAAAAAAAAAAAATTACTCTATAGAATTTTACCACATTATTCAATCAAAAGTGTGTGCTTCGCCTAAGGCAGGGAACATTGTTACTACTGGCCCACATGCTGAGGGGACAATAGAAATGTGGCAAACTTGGTTTTGTTTGAACTATACAAACTAAAATCTTGTCAGCAGCCTAGTGAATTTGGAATGTGTTCCTCTAATAAATATTGGCTTCATTTTGTGGGAAATGCTTAGTTTTGTTTTTAGTAAGTGTCTAACATTTAGTTTGTCGATGTTGTGGGCAATGGGAAAACAGGTGGTTATGACAAGGATGTGCAAAATAGAGCCTATTTCAAATTACTCATTAAAATCACTAGTTCTGTCTCACCACCCCTCAAACACAGATGCAACAACCTAGAGACTGGTGGAATGGCTACCAGGCTTCAGGACGTCTAGAGGTGTTAATAGTTGGTACTTTAATTTTACCACGCAATTAAGTAATGATGCATTTAAACATATATATTTATAGTACATTTGAAATTCCTGAGGTACCAATAGGATCAAGATAAATCTTTACACACTCTAATTAACATCTGCTTTGTCTTAGGAGCATGGCATTCCTACGGACATGGGCTACGCTGTGGCCCCTCACCATTCCGGTGTCTACCCTGTACATGTTCAGCTTTATGAGGCCTGGAAGAAGGTCTGGAATATTAAAATCACCAGCACTGAAGAATATCCACATCTGAAACCAGCTAGATACCGGAGGGGTTTTATCCACAAAAACATCATGGTGAGCTTCCTCCGGTATGCATAGAGTACAACTAATTCTGCCAGATTTACATTCCTCATTTGAAAAAAGCAAATGTTAGAAACATAACTGTAGGAGAAGCTCCATGCTCCAGAAAGCATATTTGTCATATCTAAGCAGAAAATGTTTTAATTAAAATCACTTCAATTCTTCAAATATAACTGGAAAAGGTTTTTTTACTGACATTACCACTGGTACGCAGGCACTGATGTTAAAAAAAAAAAAAAAAAAAAAAAAAAAAAAAAAAAATTACATTTAACTTGCAGATAATTTTTAGTAGACATCATTTCTTCAACATGTTATTCAGTATGAAAAACTAACATCAACTCTGTCTATATTAACCATGCTGCTCTTTGACAAGCCAGTCAAACTGTGTTCTTCTGTTTACCAAGCCAGACTAAAAAAGAACTCGACAATTTGCAGCCAGAAGCCACATGTAAGGCCCTGCATAACCATTAACATATAATAATATAGAGTAAAAATGACAGGTGATGTTAATTTGCAAACACCATTTAATTCTATCTGGACTTCTCTGTTTTGCTTTTAACAATTTTAGCAAATGTATATTGTCGAAATATGCTACTACCTCCCAAAGTAAGCAATTAAATCCTAATTTATTCTCAAATCAGAAATCCAAAGAAAGTACTAGTATAGCTAGGAATGGGCCTCCTGATTTAGAATCACACACTGGGAAGAAACACCACAGAAGAACACTATGTGATGAGCCACCGTAACACTCTGTTGAACTGATAAGTCTAAAGAGATGTCTACCCTCTAGAATTAGGTTATAACTGACTTCTTTTCAGACAGTTTTTCAATGTCTGCAAAAATTACAGTGGATAGACATATAACTTAGATCATCTCCCATCTTGACTTTTCTCTCAGTAAAAACTGTTGTAAATGCTAGATGGGGACATTATGGCCACATTTTATCCCAATCTATTCTTCCTCTGTACTGAAAATGAACTTACAGTGGCTCAAGCTGCTAGCGTTCTGACAAGAGGGAGTTTAGCAGACCTGGGTTATATTTTCCATTTCTCCTAAAAACACATTTTATCTATATTACAAATACATGAATTTTGCAGGTAATTGAGGCTCTAACAGATTTCCTGTTTTGATGGAACTGTCTCTGTGGGCCCACTTTTGCAGCAATCTGTGGAAGCCTTCTATATTTGGCTTGTAGGCTCTTAGATGAGAGCACTCTCCACTCTAATTTCTGGTTGTTGAACACGACTCTCTAGAAAGAACCAGCATATTAGTCCATTCTCACATTGCTATGAGGAAATACCCAAGACTGGGGTAATTTACAAAGGAAAGAGGTTTAATTGATTCACCATTCAGCATGGCTGGGCAGACCTCAGGAAACTTACAATCATGGCAGAAGGCAAAGGGGAAGCAAAGCATCTTCTTCACAAGGCAGCAGGAAGAAGAAGTGCAGAATGAATGGGGAAGACCTCTTATAAAATCATCAGATCTCATGAGAATTCACTATCACAACAATAGCATGTGGGATACTACTCCCATGATTCAGTTACCTCCACGTGGTCTCTCCATTGACACATGAGTATTATGGGGATTATAATTTAAGATGAGATTTGGGTGGGGACACAAACTCTAACCACATCAGCCAGAGTCTCTAAGAAATTAGACTACACTAATTAGACTACCTCTCTACTTACTGTTTTTAATGGAAATGCCCATTGGTAGAGACTACTATTAATCCTGATGAAAACCATCTAAGTGGTCTTTATTGGTATCCCCCAGAAGTATTTGTTGGCAGTTGCTCCTGAATGAGCCTTAGCTACAGATGTTGGCTTCAGTTCCCACTGGCCAAGATTCTTGTTGATCATGGCTTTCACAATCAACTCTCAGTTATTTTCAGCAGCAATAAAGTTTCCAGGGGTTCACTGGCATCTCAAAGTTTGAATTTGATGTTGTTACATTCCCAGAACCAAGTCTAGGGGGCTGTCCACAGCAGAATACCTAAAAACTTTTCTCATCCTTTCTGTAGCACAAGAAAGCTGTTTCAAGGAGCATGCTCGTCATTTGGTGCCACTGCATTTAAGGAGCAAGGCAGTGGAATATGACCCTTTTAACACTCCTGATTATCTTCCTAGCCCCCTATGGTAGTCCACTGACTCCCCTAGGGCCCTTGATGGGGCTCATACCTTCAGCGGTAGTGCTCCTGGAGTTGCAGGGTAAGCCTGCCACTTCCTCTTCACTGCACTGAAATTCAAAGAATTTGAGAGATAGACAAAACTCAAATATCTTTTCACTTATCTCTTCATTTTGCACAGAATCAGCTAGGCAATCAAGTCAAAAGGATGGCTCTGTATATATTCTATAATCTTCCAAGCAAGAGATTCAAAGTGAACCCTAGAAGTGATTCAGTCATAGTCATACACTTTTAAAATGTAACATTTACTTGGCATTTAACATATGTGAGCATTTTATTATTTAGCTTTGAGGTCTTCCTCATTACCCCGATATAGTTTAAATTCTTCAAGAGTAGAAAACATATCTTTTTCTGTTCTCTCACATGGACTGGCATGACACTAGCACATATATCTAGCATTCTAGCATAAAACTAACTCCATGCAACAGATTAACATAGAGTCCATAGCTAGTTCCACTAGCATGGAACTAACTCTGTTCTGTTGGCTAGCATAAAGTTTAGAATAAATATTTGTTAAATAAATGAATAAATGCTATATAAAGCATTTATTTGTTCCAAATGCTTTCCAAATTCAAAATTTCATTTTTAATTTCCCAACATTACATTTATAATAATTGTTAGAAAATATATTTAATTCTGTTAAAATGTGTTTGCATTTAGTTTTTTGTGTGTGTATAGATAGCATTATTAGCATATATTATGCCTCTAAACATCAGAGCTAATATTCTGTGCTTTAAACAGATTTTTTTAACTTTTATTAAGACAAAATAGCTTCTAAGGATATAACTTCTACCAACTTACCAAAATAAAAAGGATATATACAGTTTTGATTTATTCAGTAATAGGTGATATATTGATTGAACTGTCTGTCCAAGGACTAAATTATATAATAGATTGTATTATATAACCAGTATTGTACTGTCCAAGAGCTGGATTAAAATTTAATATACATTCAAGTTTTTTAAAAAAAACTAGTATATTTCCAGAATATTGCAAAACATAAGAAGTCCTGGACAGGTAATATTTTGAAAGCACTTACTGAACCAAATATGCTTTAAGAGTCGAGACAGAAAACATCAAGATTGATTTGCTTAGGACAATAACCAGAAGACCTGCCTGTATATGATTCTGTAACATTTGTAGCTCTCTGAAGTATACTTATTAATGTTCTGCTACTTAAAATGTATAGTGACAAACACAGGTCACCAGAAGTCTTAGGAAAATATTTAGCTTAAGGCTTTACCATCTTGCACAGCTTTAATTTATACCTTCTTTTATAATTGCAAAAGGCTGTAAAAATTCAAAAAAACTTATCACAAGTATATATAAGTGAAGCAGATAATTGCTCTTATATACAAAGGATGAAGAGAAGATCTTTTGCTAAATGACCTTTTATCATTTTGTTGTTACACTTTCTAAAAGCAACAAACTAAGTGGACAATCTCTTGGAACTGGCAGGCTTCATATTTAGAATCTGAGGCAATTACTATAGCCTGCAGTAGTCCTTTCAGACGAGAACAGATACTGTGATTTGCTTCTCAAATATTTATTCTAATTTAAAATGTCATTCCCTAAGAAGCATATTGAGTTGATAATTTACTTCATTTTCTAATGCACGACAGAATTTGGCAAAATTTTTATTGCATTTTATGGCAGAATTTTATTCTTAAAATTCTTGCCTATTAGGATTACAATATACTATAGACAATCCAATACTTTTAAAGTCTCGTTTTCACTTCTTTTTTTAAATCTCTTAAAAAAGATCTCTTTAAGATGCTGGAAACTACTAGGCTTCTTCATAGAATTACTTACTTTGATATTTAAAACAAACAAGTGACTAAAATAACGCAATACCTATTTCAGTTTTAAAATATTTCTTCAACTTTCTTCACTCTTCCTTCCATATTAACATCACCCTCTCTTGCCTAGAGTATGATAAGATTGTCCAGGCCCTAGTTAGACGTGAATAATGTCACTAGCTTGTGCGTCATCTTCCATGAGCAAAAAGCTAATTTTCAACAAATTGACTGAAAAAAGTTTTTTCCTTACTTTTTTCATTTTTCCTTCAGGTTCTCCCAAGACAAACCTGTGGGCTTTTCACTCACACTATTTTCTACAAGGAATATCCAGGGGGTCCTAAAGAGCTGGATAAAAGTATCCAAGGAGGAGAACTTTTCTTCACTGTCATCCTCAACCCTGTAAGTACTTTATTCTCCAAATAAATAGTGAAAAATGATAGGGCTGGCAAAAATTACCCTGGCAAAGAGGCTAGGGATTGGGCAGTCATTTGCCAAGCCAATATGAAGTTCTAGCTTCGAAACAGTAGTAAAAATTAAATGGAACCACATCTAGAAATGGGGACAAACAAGTTGCAATAACATGAGGAATTCATGGCAGAACCAGGGAAGTGCTCCAGCAGGTCCTCCTCTGCATTGGAACAAGTGATCAGAAGCTTTTATGGAGAACAAAATTTTTCACCTGTAAAACTCTATTTCCACTGGAAACCAATTGTTTTTTATTTGTTTGTTTGTTTGTTTCATTTAGGCAACCATTACCTCTATTATCTTACTATTTAAAGTTAATGTAGAAGCGAAATGGTAGAGGAATAAGGTAAGCAAATAGAGTCATATTTTCTACTTCATGTTAGATCTCATCTTGTTAGGTTATAGGCTGAAGCAGAGCAGGCCTATTTAATGTGCAAGTCATTTACTTTTCATACTTGTGTGTCAGATCCACAATGAATGAACCATTTGCTTATATTTATGCTTGAGGCAAGTATTAGAAAGTTGTGTAGAGAAAGAACAAATTGAAGTAAGCTATACAAGGGAAAGAAGGAATTTTATTTCCCTTCTGAAAATCACTAACATAAAAAATAAAGCTAAGTTTATTTATCAGATGATGTATGGGTTTGCTCCTGGCATTGGCAATATCCAAGATAAAAAAAATAATTATTTCCAAATGTAAAAAAATTTTTGCCAGTAAAAAAGTTGGAGAAGATAGGGATAAATTGAATAAAATTTGCAAAACCCCTCTCTTGATCTTAATTGTATAGTCCCTGCAAATAAAATTGCAGGTAGTGCATCTACTTGTATTCAAGGAAATTTATTGTATTCAATTCTACTTGTATTCATACACTATACCTATTTTTTAACTTCTAGAAAATGAGATAGAAGAAAGAGTAACTCATCTTTGGACAAATCCTGCTTGTATATTCAAAAACGGGGATAGTTTGAAGTAGTGTGATATTTGGACTTCCGGAAATTTATCAACCTTCAGATCCCAAAATTACCAGTAACCCTGGTTTGAACATCAGAAATAATATGACTCTTCTAACTTAGCTATTTTCACAAATGGAAGTATTTTGAATGTCCTTATACAGCTTTCTTTTCTTTTTTCTCAATTCAGTCAGGACAGTAATATACAGGCAAAAAGAGTTAAACCAATGCCTGGTTATGAACTGAACAAGCAGTTAAAACACTCTTAAAATGCCAAAATTTCACCAATAATTGCAAGCACTTTAATATGTCATCTGTAAAATTCTGATGTTTCATATTTACTTTCATCATAGAGCAACAGGAGTATTAAATAATCACAAACTTTTTTTGTTGTACTTTTAAGTTCTGGGGTACAGGTGCACAACATGCAGATTTGTTACATAGGTATACACATGCCATGGTGGTTGGCTGCATCCATCAACCTGTCATCTATATTAGGTATTTCTCCTAATGCTATCCCTCCCTTAGCCCTTCACCCCCAAACATCCCCCAGTGTATGATGTTCCCCTCTCTGTGTCCACGTGTTCTCATTGTTCAACTCCCACTTATGAGTAATAACATGTGGTGTTTGGTTTTCTGTTCTTGTGTTAGAATGATGGTTTCCAGCTTCATCCATGTCCCTGCAAAGGACATGAACTCATCCTTTTTTATGGCTGCATAGTATTCCAAATCATGAACTTCTTAAAAGTTCACAATAGTATTTTATTTCCGAATTTCTAAACCCAATGAGTTTCATTTAGCATGGAAGAAATTCAAAGTTAAATCATTCATGTACAATGGATTTATACTAAAACTTTCACCCATTTGTGATAAGAAATATTATATTTTTCATTAATTAAAAACTAAATTATGTCTTAAATTTTAAAAACCTTACAGTAAAGTTTATGTTAATTTTGGACATTAATTGGACTGAGCAAATTCTTTAACAAAACTCACTACTTTTCAGGCCTTTATCAATGTTATTTGGCAATCTTATGTCTTGATGAGGAGTTTCATAGGAATAAAGGTGGCAGGGGAGACAGGGGAAGCTGCACAAAACTTGTTCTTTCCTGATTCAGAAAACTTTCAGTAGACAATTACTTTCAGAAAAAATACCTAGACTCAAAATAAATGACAAATCTTGTCAGATACCACAAGACAGACAAGGAATTCAAAGCTAACTTTATCTGGCACACCAACTCTAATGTTGGAAGCAATTCTACTCAACTGGAGACAAGAGGTTAAGAAGCCCACATCTGGATTTAGCCCACATCTAGCCAGAGGGAAAACTGTTATCATTAGTGATGTGGACTTGGAGAACAGAGTAAGGAGTAGTGGCATGCTTCTCATGAATTCTCCATGCTGAAATTAAGTGCCTGGATAAAGTTTGTATTGAAACTAAGGAAGATTCAGGTGCAGTAAGACATGCCAGTAATTTAGCAGATGACATTTTTTATTAGGCCAGAATGAAAATGATAAAACCTTGATGGACTCAAACTATACATTAGCTTCAGGAAAGACATGAAGCTTAATTATAGTGGATATGAAAAATAGCCATTGTAAGTGAAATACCCCAGGCCTCAATTAGAAATGCCATTTTCTGAGAATGCCAAGTGAGGTTATCATTTACTACAAAAAGATAGATGTGTATTAGAAACATGGCACTTAAATGCATTCAAATACATTTGAGCTGAAAACAGAAATACAAACAGGACTTTAATGAGGGTTTTAATTTTTTTTCCCTTATATCAACATCATATCAAGGTGCTCTAATAACTTACCAGTACTGGGGTGAGAGATGAATACAATAAGCTGCCCCTCAGAATTAAACTGGAAATATCCACAGAAAAGGTAAAAACTCCTTAAACAGAATAACTCTCTAGCCTGAAATGTTCTAATGTTACCAAAATATTTGTTATTGTGAAAGAAAGAAGTATAAATCAACTGAGCTTAACAAAATAGAGAATTACAAAGACAAATGTTAGCACTGTCTAGGGTAGAGAAAACCTTGGTCATCTCTAAATGGGCCTTTCCAATGTCATAGGCCTGGACACCTCTCATGTAGGTTGGGTGCAGAGGTTTTGATGAATAGACTTTGAGGTTCAGATCCAGCAGGCTATCTGAGTCTGGAACCATTAAGATTTCAATTTTTCGCCGGGCCCGGTGGCTCACGCCTGTAATCCCAGCACTTTGGGAGGCCGAGGCGGGTGGATCACGAGGTCAAGAAATCAAGACCATCCTGGTCAACATAGTGAAACCCCGTCTCTACTAAAAATACAAAAAATCAGCTGGGCATGGTGGCGCATGCCTGTAATCCCAGCTACTCAGGAGGCTGAGGCAGGAGAATTGCCTGAACCCAGGAGGCGGAGGTTGCGGTGAGCCGGGATCGCACCATTGCACGCCAGCCTGGGCAACAAGAGTGAAACTCCATCCCAAAAAAAAAAAAAA